CCATGTCAGATGATCTTACTGTGCTGCATGCCATGTCAGATGATCTTACTGTGCTGCATGCCATGTCAGATGATCTTACTGTGCTGCATGCCCAGCTAGATGATCTTACTGTGCTGCGTGCCATGTCAGATACCATAATTGTATGGTATGCCATGCCAGAAGTGCTTACTGTGTCACATGTCATCCCCCATGGGGCCCTCAGGAAACAGCAGTAGATTTTTGCTGGTTCACTTCACTCTTCTCTTTTTCACACAATGCATGCAGTGGTTTTAACACAATCATCCATTTAGTCTTCTGCTGCTGAAGACACCATCCTGCAGCAAAACCAAAAAAACAAGCACCATTGATATGTATTATTATGTATCATTAGAGTTTTTTTACAGAAATGTAGCTTTTATATCTGGCAGCGTTATGTCCTGTGTATGTCACAATTTTCACCACATATTTTGTATGATTTGTTTTTCATTTGCTTCCCCTGTTTGACAGAGACTTGGTGGGCTAAGAAACCTCTTGATACATTCGTAAAGAGAAGCAATTATTTGGTAATAACATAACCGTCGCCCATTTTATTATTTATTCTTTTCACCCCTTTTATAAATATGCCTATCTTCACTTTCTCATGAGCAACACATTTTACTCATACTTTTGATGTATTTGATCAACTACTTTCACTAGGAATAGGACAGTAGAACTAGCAGTTCAGATCAAAACATATGAACAACTGAAAGGAACAGCGTTTGTCAGAATATCTAATGAAAAACTAAAATTCTTTGCAGTACCTGTGACTTTACTGCTAAATGAGCACTATGGATATTTTTAGATTACTGTTTAATGTCTTGTCTCTCCATACTTTTGTCCCCTGTTCCACAGTCTTGCAGTTAGAACCATGCATTTCACTGCAAACTGGACCGAGTATCTGGACCTATTCTACCTCACGTGTCCCATCCTTATGGTGAGAATGTGTCTTAATGCCGAAACATCCTTCTAACATTAAGCAAAACTTTACAATCCAAGATCAGCTTTCAGCCTGATGGTTCTTAACTCACCACTGAGAATTACAGTAGGAGTACATTACTCAGGGAGTACTGGGGAGTAGAGTTACTCAGCTTTATTCTTGATGTTGGCTAAAACCAGTAAGTGTAAGCACTGGCACAGTCAGTGTGTCAGCAGCATAATGACCAGTAGGACTACAGTTTGTGTGGGATTCTGTGTGTGCTAGTCTGCGTTTGGGTTGTGGAGGCAGTTTTTCTGTCCTTGCTGAAAAAGGAAGTAAACAGACTCAAGACTGTTTATGCAGGCGCAGCTTTGAGCAGATAACACTTCCTGTTTGATTATCAAGCTAAAGAGTGCGAGTATATATGAACACATCAACATTCATCTATATGCATGCCTGTGCATGCATATATGCACACACATATTCCTCTACATACATCATACTTATCATTAAAATTTAAAACTCATATTTCACCTTTGTATGACATAAAGAATTGATTCATGTTCATTTTGTTCTTTTTGTTTCGCTAAGGTTTTGAACTGTTCTTATCTTGTGGATTGTTGTACATTTTCTCGCATCTCAGCCAACTTTAAAAGCTGTCCTTGACCTCAGCACCATCCCTCAGCAACGTCATTGCGTCACCAGATCAATTGGAAGTGACAGCCTTATCCAGGCACTGTCTGGCTGCTGTGAAGACCACGGGATACCAAGAGTCATATGGACTTCCTGCATTTTTCATCAGATAATCATAGAACAGCGGCAGGGCAAAGATACAGCAAATGGTTCATGAAGCTTCATTTGGCTAATCACTACTAACAAGCACAAATGAGGGAAATTAACAGATAAAGGATATTAAACACCAAGGGAGACTAGGATAACAAAGGTAATTGAGCAAAACTGCATACCAGACCAAGGAGCAAAACAAGGAAGCAGAAAAATGCCAGTACATAACTAATACAAAAATAAACCATGAACCATAATGTTGAAAAAGTAAACATAACACAACAAAAAAAGAGAGCCTGGATGACAGAGCTGCCTGCTTAGGCTACTAAGCCACACGGCGGCCTGGGGACGATGGGAACATATTAGGGGACGAGTACCTGGGATGGCCAGCGACACCTGCTGGCCAAACAGGGAACATACACAGGACTGCGACCAATCCTGACAGTCAGCCCCAGGATTTGAACTGGTGACCACCCAAAGGTGTTTCTAAGAACTTTTGTATCTCTTTCATCTTCGTGGCCTGTAAGATATCCATGGCAGCTGCTTCTACAAGAAGGCCCTCAGCAAAGTCCATCCCTCAACAGTTACTGCTTATTTGAACTCTTACTGTCTGGCTACCAGTTGACTGGTGACTGTGTAAAATTCTACACCTCCTGAGATATGATTTAAACCTCTGTTTCAGTGTATTAATAGGATGTAGCCTTGAAAAGATACAAATAAATAAAGGCTGGCATTGGCATGTGAGAGGGAGGTCTGGGCATCACTGCCTAGACTGGTGCCCCTGCGACCCGACCCTGGATACGCGACAGAAAATGGATGGATGGATGGATGGATGGATGGATAGCAATATCATACCTCTTGATTTGGATTATCTTGTCACATTTCACAGCAATTATTCTGTCTTTCACTCAATTTTTCACATAATAGTGCAGCATGTTACCAAGTTATGATAGAAACGTTCTCTCAGAATATTTCTCAGTATTATCAAGTGCCAGACAGTACAATTTTGCCATCTGGTGTAGAAAATGACAAGAGCAGCAGAAACAGCTCTCAAGATTTTTTTAGGATCTGCTGTTTCTAAACGCCCCTTCAGGTAGGGAAACAGGTTACTCATCCTCCAGTGGTCTCTGATTAATGTTGTGTTAAAGTGATTAAAGTGCTGTATCACCTTTGGGGTTATAGGTTTGAATCCCGCTTCCGCCCTGCATGTGTCGTCACTTATTTAATGTGCTGTTTTCCTCACTTACAAATCATCGTTGCTGAAGGTACCTGCTAAATACATAAATGTAAATGTAACAAATGTAGTGTGAGCAGTGATGTTGCTGTCAAGTTGTCACTGAAAGACACTATGTCTACATTCTGTCACATTTAACTGAGAAATTGCATTGATACACATCTCTATGAGCCAAATTGCATCACATCACCATGAGTCAAACCCCTGCATATCCACCCATTGTCCAACCTCTTACACTGACACCACAGATTAGGAAACACAGGAGCACACTGGATGGTGTGGTGTAGTATTTCACAGTGGTTCTTGGTGTGCTTTTAAGTATGGGATTATGTCCCATTTCTTCAACTAAAACATGTTGTTTCTGGAGTACTTCCTGACTACGTTAGCATGCTGAAGCATTACAGCTGTCCGAGTTACAGAGCAAGCGTTGCGTCGCTCCTTTCAGTCCTACCATCCTTCTTTAGGGCCATTGATTTAAAGTCCGTTAGCTTGTCACAAGCGCGTGTAGAACAGAGAGAGGTTATGCTCTATGCCAGCAGGTGGCACTATTTCGCTGCAGGTTGTTGTCCCGTAGTCTTTACTGACAGACTCCCCATTGCAGTCCCATTGGCAACACAAGATCAGGACTATAATGAAGACTTGAACACAGAAGGCTGTTAAGCAAGGCTCTCTGAGCACTGAAAGTGCCATCAGCGTTGGTGCATTCCAACGTGTTCCACTGTGTCTACATGTGCATTTTCACAAGTGCAGGCTGTGTTTTCTTTTTACCTGAGTGCGTCACAGTGACCAGGCTGCCATGCGTACTTGATATAGTATAGTAATAGGACAGGCTTGCATAGCAGGACCCAGCAGGGCATGTGGGGCTCAGCATTTCCTGTGCTGTTCATTTCCTGATCCACGAGTCGTCATTAAAGATGGTGTGAGATCTGGCGCTAAGTTAGACCAGTGTGTGCCGTGCCACCACATTGCCCTCGTTTTGGTTTGTTAATAAGACAACCTTAAGAGGTGGGTGTATGTGGACTAAATGCTAAATGCTAAAGTGTTTCTCCATAAAGACCAGCAGTGAAATAGTGTAAGAACGGCACTCAGGAACAAACACTTTCATTAAAACCATGATTTTTCTTTACAACACTGCCAATTTTAGCCACGTGTTTTACTTTATTATTTACTTGTTTACTAAATTAAATTTTTTTGGCCCCAAAGAAAGGGAAAAAGTGAAGTGAGAGAGCATGCTTGTCACTTTTACTTCTCCTAGATAAAAGCATTACCATTACGACATAGATTACTCTTTCTGCTTAGGCTTACGTTTGTCAGGGTTTATTGTGAGAAATCGTCTTAGAAGTCCTTCATGCTTTCAAGAAGTTTTGTTAACCAGACAAGGCTCTAAAATTAGTGCAAAATCCTGTAGACTTCTATCAGCACTCCAGGTTTATCAAGAGATGAAATTACATTTCTATAGTAATCAATCTTTTACCATGACATTTATCAGATGTCACTCTAAAACTCATTTATTTCGCATGTGACTCAGTCATATCTCTTTAAATTTAAAATTGGCTTCTCCATTGTTTCTCCTGGGAAATAATCACATTGCTCTTGCAGCACTATGAAACCAAATCAGCTCCTTGAAATTATTCAAATTGTAAGAAGCTGTAAAAGTGAGAGCTGGGAGTGAGCTGCAGAGAGCCTGACTCAGACGGAGAGAGATGAGGAGACAGACAATAAGAGAGAGCGAGGGGGCAGAGAGAGAAAGAGATAACAAAGATATATTAAAGAGATATGGAGAGAGACAGAGTAAGAGAAGGAGACAGAGAGAAAGTGAGAGAGACTGAGATATAGAGAGAGACAGAGTAAGAGAAGGAGACAGAGAGAAACAGAGAGAGAGTGAGAGAGACTGAGATATAGAGTGAGACAGAGTAAGAGAAGGAGACTGAGACAGAGAGAGTGAGAGAGACAGATATAGAGAGAGACAGAGTAAGAGAAGGTGACTGAGACTGAGAGAGAGACAGAGACTGAGAGAGACTGAGCGAGAGAGAGAGAGAGCGAGACAGAGAGAGAGCGAGAGAGAGTAGATTTAAAACGCTTGAAGCTCACCTTCCAGCCCTAGGCCTCTCCCAGTTGGCTGCATTCAGATTACCATCCTCCCACTCGTCAGCTCCAGTCTCTCCACAGCCTGGGTGGAGTGTCTCAGACCCTGGCTGACTCACAGCTGAGCCCTCAACAAAAATAGTTCCTATTTCAAAAGCACCATAACATGCCTAAAGTAATAGCAGAGTCAGTGGTAAATTGTGGAAAACTGCCCCCTCTCACCATAACAGTGATCTCATCCTAATTCTGATGTCTGCTTAACCCCAACACACCTTTCCTCCTTAACACTGCTCTTACCCTAAAATGCATATCACCCTATCCCTAACACGGCACTTACCCTAACACTGATATCTGCTTAACAACAACAAATACATCCTCCTTAACACTATTCTTACCTTAACACTGATGTCTGCTTAACAACAACAAATACTTCCTCCTTAACACTATTCTTACCCTAACACTGATGTCTGCTTAACCCCAATACATCTTTCCTCCTTAACACTACTTTTACCCTAAAATGCATGTCACCCAAACCATAACACTGCACCTACCCCAACACTTATGTCTGCTGAACCACAACATATATTTCCTCCTTAACACTGTTCTTACACTAACACTATGCTCAATCTAGCACAGCTGTCATCCTAACACAGAAGCCACCCTAAGAAAAACACTGCTACAGAGTTAAGAATCAAATAATATCTTTAATTCTTGTCCGCCATGGAAACCACAATTTTTATTGTCGATATCGGAGGACCTCTCTCTCTCTCTCTCACACACACACACACACACACACACACACATTCTCACACCACACACAGACACTATTAAAACATCCAGAGCCCATTGTTAGTGCAGGTGTGAAAAGCTCCATTCTGGATGACCCTATGCATATGTGTGTTTTAGGTTTCA